CGAAAGAGCTGACACATGCTAATTACCAGTACAAAAAAGCTTAGAGCAAGGGTGCCCACACTTTTTCAGCATGTGAGCTGCTTTTAAAATGACCAAGTCAAAGTGATCTACTATAAGATCCCATTTATATGAGATCACCTCTGGAAACGTTGGTGTTTTTTCAATGTTTATTGGTGATAATAAAAAAAAGAGTGGGTTTACATGAAAAACACTGTAGTTTCCATGTCAGTCAGGTTACTAGATAATAAATGATGAACTATAGTACTGTGGCTTTAAAATGATAATATTTTGACCTAAACTGTCATATGTGCTGAGTAAAGATATTTTAAAATGAGGTGTGTTGTGTTTGTTGAATATGTGAGTTGCAAAGTTATTTTAGAATTTGTAGAGGAAAAGGTTTTGTATTTTTATTGTATTTAGATTTTTAAATTGTATTTTAATGTATAGTTTTTATTATATGAAATTAGAGGTTGTTAGGCTGATGACATGAATATGTAGGCAGGAGTATTTTGATTGATAAATTGTATGTATTTTAATGCATAGAAATGCCCAACCAGGGACTGGAGTTGTGAATTAGCTGTAGCTATATACTCTTTGTGCAACACATCAGTCACAGACTTGTTCTGTTCTATGTTTGTGTGCACTGTCCCTGTCAAATAAACTAACTAACTAAACATATGCACAGAAAAGGAGGGGATAAATAAGACATTTTAAGTTTATCTGGCAACCCTGAGCTTTATTCATCACGCATGCAGCATCTGCACGATCGCAGTTAGTCCAAACTGGTGAATACACTAGCCGCTTTGGACCCCGGAGTTTATTAGTGTTGCTCCTACATGCTAAAAAAGGGTGAGTAGCACAAAAGCACTCTGCTCTCTGCCTTATTTTATATCTGTTGTTAGTGCAGGAAAAACTCCGGACTGCAGTCGCCTTTAGTGCGCATGTACGACTTCACACACAGAGAATTTCACGGGGTGGGGGAGGGGGTAAATATGGATAAATATAAATATTTCCCAAAAAAATCTCCACTCTGAGACCTGGTTTGAGCGAATGAGGGCTGTGAGTGGCTGCCCTGTATGTCAATCAAGTAACAAGTTTCATAGTTTCATAGATGTTGGATGCTGTCTATCATGGTGCACTAAGATTCATAACTGGCTGTGATTATCGTACCCACCACTGCACCCAGTATTCACTGGTTAACTGGACATCATTAACTTCATGCAGACTCTCTCACTGGTACATTTTCATCTTTAAATCACTTCTTGGTCTGCTGCCTTCATATATCTCCTCCTACATGTCTCTGCGTGAGTGCAGCTACGGAGTGTGCTCTCAGGACATCTCCTACTCCGCTCCTGTTTCCTGGAATAATATCTTACAAAAAGATTTGAAGCTCTCGACCTTTGACCTCTCTAAGTGGCTTTAAGAATCTGTTGGACTCCTGGCAGGGACCAATGCAGACATGTTCCTGTTTTTAGTTTTCTACATTCGCCTTAGAATCTAGCTGGTTTTTTTTTGTTTTTTGTTTTGTTACCTTTTCCTTTTAGCCATCCTATTTGTAAAAAAAAAAAAAACCTGCAGTATGACTTTTTATAATTGTTTATTGTTGTTGCTGTTGTCCATTGTTGTCATCTTTCTTTGTTGAAATCAGGTCTCTCTTGTAAATGAGTCCTCGAGGCTCAATGGGATTTACCTGTCTAAATAAAGGTTGATTGATAGTGAGGATGGATGATAAGCTGACATCAATTTATTTTAATGCCATATGCTCTACCCATAATGTCTTTGCGATTGATCGGTAGAATGCGACTGATGTATTGGGCACCCATGCTGTAGACAATGCTGAAAACAGTCCCAATGAATGGTTGGAACTACAAATCTTTTTCACCATTTAAAACAGTGGAGTGGAATATGAAGTGTGCGTGAAGCTGCAGGTCAGAGTGTTTTTTCAGCATCCTTCCCTGTAACAAACCATAGGTCAGAACTCATTAAGCTGTGGTGTGCCTTGAGAGGCACAGAGGGAGGTGGAGGCATTAATAAATCAGCAGTTTATCATTTTGCTAAAGACACGGTCCTTAGTGGCTAACAAGACGGCTAATGCTTTGGACGTCTTGTTCCACAGCTGAGACTGGGACCGTGTGTTAGCGATATGATAAACTGCTGATTTATTAATGTCACCACCTTTCTCTGTGCCTCTCAAAAGGCAGAGCACAGCTAAATGAGTTCTGACTCTTGGTTTGTTTCAGGGAAAGAAGCTGGAGTCTGTTGAACCTGCAGCTTCACACACACTTGCTAACATGAAGGCGGCGCAGCTGAATGGACTGCACTTATACAGCAACTTTCTAACTTAGCAAGACACTCAAAGCTCTTTACATCCCAATTTGTGCCTCATTTACCCATTCATACAGCACTCTACTAGATCTCCATCCATCCATCCATCCATTTTCTTCTGCTTATCCGGGGTCGGGTCGCGGGGGTAGCAGCCTAAGTAGGGAGGCCCAGACTTCCCTCTCCCCAGCCACTTGGGCCAGCTCTTCCGGGGGAATCCTGAGGCGTTCCCAGGCTAGCCGAGAAACATAGTCCCTCCAGCGTGTCCTAGGTCTTCCTCTGGGCCTCCTTCCGGTGGGACGTGTCCGGAACACCTCACCAGGGAGGCGTCCAGAAGGCCTCCTAAACAGATGCCCAACCCACCTCAACTGGCTCCTCTCGACGTGGAGAAGCAGCGGCTCTACTCTGAGTCCCTCCCGGATGATCGAGCTTCTCACCCTATCTCTAAGGGAGAGCCCAGACACCCTGCGGAGAAAACTCATTTCGGCCGCTTGTATCCGAGATCTCATTCTTTGGGTCACAACCCAAAGCTCGTGACCATAGATGGGGGTAGGAGCGTAGATTGATCGGTAAATTGAGAGCTTCGCCTTTTGACTCAGCTCTCTCTTCACCACGACAAACCTGAACAGCGCCTGCTTCACTGCAGACGCTGCACCTATCCGCCTATCGATCGCACTTTCCATTTTTCCCTCATTCTTGAACAAGACCCCAAGATACTTGAACTCCTCCACTTGGGGTAGGACCTCCTCCCTGACCCGGAGAGGGCACTCTACCCTTTTCCGGCTCAAGACCATGGCCTCGGATTTGGAGGAACCGATCTTCATCCCGGCCGCGTCGCATTCAGCTGCGAACCGCTCCAGCGAAAGCTGTAGATCACGATCTGATGAAGCCAATAAGACCACATCATCTGCAAAAGGCAGAGATGCAATCCTAAGGCCACCAAAATGGATCTCCTCAACACCTTGGCTGCACCTAGAAATTCTGTCCATAAAAGTTATGAACAGAATCGGTGACAAAGGGCAACCTTGGTGGAGTCCAACTCTCACAGGGAACAAGCCCGACTTACTGCCGGCGATGTGGACCAGGCTCTGACACCGGTCATACAGGGGCCTAACAGCCCCTATCAAAGGACCCGGTACCCCATACTCCCAGATTACCCCCCACAGGGTTCCCCGAGGGACGCAGTCAAACGCCTTCTCCAAGTCCACAAAGCACATGTAGACCGGTTGGGCAAACTCCCACGCACCCTCTAAGACCCTGCTGAGAGTGTAGAGCTGGTTCAGTGTTCCACAGCCAGGCTGAAAACCGCACTGCTCCTCCTGAATCCGAGGTTCGACTATCCAACGGACCCTCCTCTCCAGAACCCCCGAATAGACCTTACCAGGGAGGCTTAAGAGCGTGATTCCCCTGTAGTTGGAACACACTCTACGGTCCCCCTTTTTGAATAGGGGGACCACCACCCCGGTCTGCCAATCCAGGGGAACTTTCCCCGATGTCCACGCAATATTGCAGAGTCGCGTAAGCCAACACAACCCTACATCATCCAGAGCCTTAAGGAACTCCAGGCGAATCTCATCCACCCCTGGGGCCCTGCCACCGAGGAGCTTTTTAACCACCTCGGTGACCTCAGCACCAGAGATTGGAGGGCCCGACCCAGAGTCCCAAGGCTCCGCTTCCTCAGTGGAAGACGTGCCGGTGGGATTGAGGTCTTCAAAGTATTCTGACCACCGACCAACAACATCCCGAGTTGAGGTCAGCAGCACACCACTCCCACTATAAACAGTGTTGGTGGCGTATCGCTTTCCCCCCCAAGACACCGGATGGTGAACCAGAATCGCCTCGAAGCCGTGCGGAAGTCATTTTCCATGGCCTCTCCGAACTCCTCCCATGCCTGAGTTTTTGTCTCAGCGACCACCTGAGCCGCATGTCGCTTGAACTGCCGATACCCATCATCTCACAGGCCAAAAAAGCCAGATAGGACTCCTTCTTCAGCCTGACAGCATCCCTCACCGACGGTGTCCACCATCGGGTTCGAGGGTTGCCCCCACGACAGGCACCGACAACCTTGCAGCCGCAGCTCCGGTAAGCCGCCTCGACAATAGAGACACGAAACATGGTCCACTCAGACTCAATGTCCCCCACCTCCCTCGGAACATGTTCTAGATCTCTACAAATAATAATCAGAGCTTTAGTTCACATTCATACACTGATTGGACACACATCGGAGGCAATGAAGGGTCCAGTGTCTTGCCCAGGAACACTTCAGTATGTGACTGCTGGTGGAATCAAACCACTAACTCTACCATTGGAGGATGACTGCTCTAGCCTTTCAGCCACAGCTGCCCACAGTTGAAGAGGATTATTATTTATTATATGTAAATACATAATAATAAACACACCTACCCCAATAATAACCCCCCCCCCCCCCCCCCCCCAGCAGCCACCTTCCTTGTTTTTTTAAATTGTGAAAATAATAATTTTCTAGAAGTCTCTTGTTTGCTTTTTATTATGGAAACATTTGGAATAAGCCTTGAAATAAATAAATGTGTAAATCTACTTCAAAAGTGCAGTTCTGAAGAAAATAAAACAAAAAACACGGACAGCAGGAATGGGGACTGGCACATACTTGAGTTAATATAAATTCTGTATAAAAAATAGTTGCTTTCACAGCTACTTACGTGCGTCGAAAAGCAGTTCTTATATCCAAACCACCAGGAGCATGGGCCTCTGAAAGGCAGAACGCCACAGAAATCACCTCTGACTCTGACCATCATTACGTGCAACAACTGTGGGAGGCTTGAGCAACTCACCATGAACAGTCAAGTCAAAGTTGCAGCTGTCAAACTTGTCCTTGGATGAAACCTCACATCTGTACGCTCCTGCAAAGTTTGGCTTGGCGGCGATGATGTGCATCTCAAATGTGTACACCTGAAATCAAGACTGATTTGACTTCACACAACAGAAATTATGTTTTATTTTTGCATTTACCTTAAAGTGAGCCAGTGTACAAGCTAGCTTTACTTCTTTGTAATTATTTGACTCCCTAAGAAAAGTTTCTGCACTTATTACTCTAAGAAATGGAGGGTTAAAGAAAGGCAAAACCAGAAAAATATTTGTCGCCTCAATTACACAATGTTGCACTTTATAGTTTTATCTTTATTTTTATGTCAAACATGAGCATGTGTTTGTGAGCTCATTGGGTGAACATAAATCACCACTTATGGTACATGGTAAATGGACTGTACTTATTTAGCGCCTTTCTATCTTATTTCATCCATCCATCCATCCATCCATTATCTTTACCCGTCTATTCCATTTTGGGTCACGGGGGTCTCTGGTGCCCATGTCCACAATCACTGTGAGAGGGGCGGGGGACACCCTGGATGGGTCGCAAGTCCATCACAGGGACACATAGAGACAAACGAGACAAACAACTATTCACTCTCTCACTCACACCTAGGGACAATTTAGAGTTACCAATCAGCCTAACATGCATGTTTTTGGTCTGTGGGAGGAAACCGGAGAACCCGGAGAAAACCCACACATGCACGGAGAGAACATGCAAACTCCACCCAGAAAGGCCCCTGGACCGGGGTTTGAACCAAGGACCTGCTCGCTGAGAGGCAGCAGCTCTACCAGTTGTGCCACCATGCTGCCCTCTATCTTATTTCAAGGTACTTAAAGTGCTTTACACTACAATCTGTGCCTCATTTACCCATTCATCCAGCACTCTACATCTCTACAAAGCTAATGGAACAAATCATTCTAATGAGACTAATCAGTGCTTTAGATCACATTCAAACACTGATGGGGCACTCATCAGAGGCTATGAGGGGTTCAGTGTGTTGCCCAGGGACACTTCGGCATGTGACTGCTGGTGGATTCGAACCCCCAACTCTCGCATTGAAGGACGACTGCTCTAACCACTCACCCACAGTCGCCCCCTTATCAGGATTAAAAAAGAAAAAATCTTTTTTGCTTGTGTATTTTCCTGTTTACCAGGCCTGGGGTGGCTAATCGGGAAGACCGGGACAATTCCCGGTGGGCCAGTCTAATTCTTAGTCTGCAGGGTCAGTGCTCCTATTTTATTTTTTAGAACTTTTTATTAACAAAATAAAACCAAAGAACACTGCTACCATTAAGCCCCCAGTATACTGCCGTGTACGTCCATACGCAGAGGTACGCACGTACGTACGCAGAGGTACTAGCGTACCCCCCAGGGCATGTCCGTGCAAAGCTCAAATTTTTATGACCTCATACACATACGCGGTGTCGCACAATAAACTGCCCAGCGACGGACTGTTTTGTATGTGACAAAAGTGCTTCCAGCGCTCGCTTTTTTCTTTTTTCTGACCTATCAATCAATCCAGTAGGCGTGTCAGCAAATGACCAATAGGTGACCTCAATTTGTCCCGAAGGTAAACGCCCCTTGTCTGTGAAGCTGCTCTGCAGCTGCTCGGGGTGGACGCTCGAGTACAAAGTCTGAACCCTCTGCGTACAGTACACGCGTACGTACGCGCGAACGGATGTACGCGGCAGTAAACTGGGGGCTTTACTCCTGGGCCGCCCCGCCTCCGCACAGGGCCGATGTTGTGCCAAAAATTGATTGGCATGCACTCACTGTTTCAGTTCTTCCAAGCATAACTCCTAAAAACAATTATTTGTTTGCTAAAGATTGTAGCAAAGTTGTGTCTCCCTTTACTTTTTCCTTAATAAATGCACTTTAATGGTCAAAAAATTTTCATTTCGCCTGCCTGCCAAAAGTTGATTATGGCTTGTAATTTAACAAGCAGTCGAAATGAAGCTTTTTTTGACCTTTAAACCATTGTAGCTGTCTTCACGGATATCTTTAATTTCTCACTGAGTCAGACCATCATCCCCACCTGTTTCAAAGCTACCACCATCATCCCAGTCCCATAGAAGGAATTCCCCTCCTGCCTAAATGACTACTGTTCAGTGGCACTTATCCCCATTCTGATGAAGAGCTTCAAATAGCTAGTCATGAAACACATCAAATCCATCCTTCCTGCCTCCCTGGATCCTTTCCAGTTTGCATATCAGCCCAATTGTTCGACCAACAATGCCATCTTCTCTGCCCTCCACATTTGGACACTAAGGACTCATGTTAGACTGCTGTTCATTGACCTTTTATTAAGGAAAAAGTAAAGGGAGACACACCTTTGCTACAATCTCTAGCAAACAAATAATCATTTTTAGGTTATAATCTTGTTAAATTTTGAAGAACTGAAACAGCGAGTCCTCTCGTGCGCGCTCCCGCGGCGCCAATCGATTTTTGGCACAACGCCGGCCACAGCTCTCGCCCACGTGTCAATCAATCTAGTGAGTGTGTCAGCAACTAACCAATCAGCGACCTCAATTTATCCTGGAGGTAAACGCCCCTTACCTGCAGATATGCAGGGTCAGAATGATTTTGTGAAAACTCATCAGAAAAAAATGTTTAACGTTGTCATTGGGGAAAATTTATTCCAGACATGTGTTACCCTGAGCATTTAGAGTGGAATCCATCCATCCATCCATCCATCCATCCATCCATCCATCCATCCATCCATCCATCCATCCAC